GGTGAGCATTTATTATCTTATAAATAACCAAAAAGGCCATTTCTATTTTTAAAAAATAAAATTAAGAACGTGAGAATGGGCCAGGTACAGTGGCTCATGCCTACAATTCCAGCCCTTTGGGAGGCTGAGGCGGGCAGATCACTTGAGGTCAGGAGTTCAAGACCAGCCTGGCCAAAATGGTGAAATCCCGTGTCTACTAGAAATACAAAATTTAGCGGGACGTGGTGGCAGGTGCCTGTAATCCCAGCTACTCGGAAGGCTGAGGTACAAGAATCACTTGAACCCAGGAGGCAGAGGTTGCAATGAGCCAAGATCGTGCCAATGCACTCCAGCCTGGGCGATAGAGCGAGACTCCGTTACAAACAAACAAACAAACAAACAAGAATGTGAAAGTGAGAAAGAAGCAGGGGGAAAAAATCTAGCTGAAAGCAATTTGCTTATGAAATAGATTCCAAATCACAGGAAGTCTCCTCACTTGTACCTCTCTTCTCAAGGTCATGAGCATGGTATCAGGGTTTGGCCCCCTCATCACTGCGGGAATCTTTTCTGCAACGCTTTCCTCCGCCCTGGCTTCCCTTGTCAGCGCACCCAAAGTGTTCCAGGTAATACAAGCACAACAGCTTGTGCTTCTCCCTATTGCTGTTTCCACAGAATGTGAAGCAAGCTGAAATATTCATTCTCACTGGCAATCATTTTCCATCATTTTCTGAAACAGTTAATGTTTGCATCTGGCTCAAGTGCTATGTCTGCCATATAGTCAAGATCGATTCAAATAATATAAAGAATGATAAAGTGCAGTGTTAACTTGTGCCTCATCTTGTGTATCACTTAATCTTTCCCCAAATCTTCCCGTTTGAATCACCTAGAGAAAATGACTGTGCATAGCTATCAATGACAAATGTCTTCTCTTCTTTTCCATTAGGCTCTGTGCAAGGACAACATCTACAAAGCTCTGCAGTTTTTTGCAAAGGGATACGGGAAAAACAATGAACCCCTGAGAGGATATATTCTCACTTTTCTTATAGCCATGGCATTTATTCTTATTGGTTTGTAAAGTTTTCTTGTTTTGATTGAAAACCAAAGAATTCTTCTGATTATTCATAGGGCTTTCCTTTTAGTTTGAAAAATTACCCGTTTCATGTTTAGGATCCCATTTGGGAATATTGGCATCTAAGAAGGAAATGAGAAATCCTTGTGTGTAGAGGGCCTTTGAGGAACTCGAGGTAGACTTTGAATTTTAATCTATTCTTTGAATCTGAGTGTTCGAAATCCATCCAACCAAAGGCAGCTGAATCCTTCTTCCCACCTGCCTGAAACTGTCTAAATCCAGAGTCTCCCCCAGCTGCCATAACTACTGGCCTGATGGCTAGCAGAATTGAATTGCCTGTTAGTGTTTCTGGGAATGTGGTCCACTGAGCATCTATATCGCAATCACCTGGGGTGTTTGGGCGAGTGCGGAGACTTCAGGCCCAATTCCAGAGTAACTGAGTCAGACTCTCTGAGGGTAAGGAGTCTACATTTCACAAGTCTACATTTCAAGTAGACCACTGGTATTTGAGAACCACTTACCTAGACTATAATCTTGGCTTCCTCTCCCCAGGTGATATAGAAACAGCTACATAATCTTGGAGAGGCACATTCATCAACTTAAACTTGCGCATGTCTCACTCCTCCCTAAGGCCTCACCTCTGCTGATGAGCATATCAGACGAAAAGAAGCAGAAGGCAGAGGACTTTGGGAGCCACACACAGGCGGGCAGAGACTTCTTCAGCACGGCAGTGCCAAGCAATGAGGGCTCCTCATCATTACATGTTGAACTCAGGAAGGGACTATAATTCATGAATCCTCATAGCATTTGTATGAGGCTGAAGAAGGGAATTTGTAACTCTCTGTGTTTGTTAGATTTTTAAAAATTAACTTAAAAGTGATTTCATATAGAGATGTTTCAATTATGTAATTTAGCCTTTAAGATCTCAAATCATTGCCTCATGCTGCATTTAAGTGAGTGAGCAACCAAAGTTTTAAAAGTCTTGTATACATTAGATAATATCATTTAAAATCATTCTTTCAGAACAAGTGGATTGGCTCCACGCATAAGCATCATGGCAGCTGTTTTGCCTACTTTCTTGTCGGTATCCATGTTGCAGAATCATATCCAGCTGCCTGCATTTGCATCATTGCATCACTTGCACCATTGCATCATTTGCATCATTGAGGGTGATAGGTGTCTGACCTTCAGATAAAGGATGACGTCTCTATATTTTTTCTTGTATTGCCCAGTAAAAAATCCAACTGGAATGAAATCATACCAGATATTTACTCCTGAGGCAAAAGTATTTTTGGACCAGGCACAGTGGCTCACGCCTGTTCATCCCGGCACTTTGGGAGGCTGAGGTGGGCGGGTCACTCGAGGTCAGGAGTTCAAGACCAGCCCAGCCTACATGGTGAAACCTTGTCTCTACTAAAAATACAAAGATTACCTGGGTATGGTGGCAGGCACCTATAGTCCCAGCTACTAGGGAGGCTGAGGCAGGAGAGTCGCTTGAACCCGGGAGGCAGAGGTTGCCGTGAGCCGAGATT